AACTCATTTCCTAACTTGGTTAGCGAAACGAGCGTCAAGGGACAGCATTTTTGTTCTGGTGGGGAAGAAGTGATTTCAATAGATTAGTTATCGTGTTACTTTTGAAATCCTTCAACTCTCAAAAGCGCCCTGTTATCATGTATCGACCTTGACAATTCCAAGGATTCCTCATTGATTCTATGGCTACTTTCTGAAGCATCTTAGGCGACACTAGACGTTTCTGGTCTATGAAACCGAATATGTGAAACACATTTTTGGAACGCGTTATTACAGTTTGCTTTCGGGTTGCCCATCACTTGCTGAAGTGTACGAGCGGTTTTGAAAACAACGTCACTGTCACGTCACAGGTCACTGTCATTTTAATCATCATATACAGAGACTCGGACTGTCAGAAGACAGTGTGTTTCGCCTGTTTGGAAAATGATGAAACAGCAGAGCACATACTTTGTGCCTGCCTGGGGACCGAATCAAGTTTTTAAAGTTCGGCAGAGCCGTAGTCTTAGCATCTGATCTGAAAGATCACTTACCATACATACTAATCGGCTTCGTTAAGAAGCTGGGTTTATTTAGTCGAGTGTGAATAGGTGTGAGCCACAATAAATCCTTGCGGGTAGCGGTGGAGGGTCGAATAGACCCACTCACTTTGAACCTGACCTAATATAAACTAATCTCATGATGATACCAACTTGTTTAGAGTTTGCATTCTGATGTTGAAAAAGTGTTTCCATCTCGATTACGTACATTCTCGATCATTACACTAATGTAAATCAGCCCCACTGCATCCTTCTTCATCTTCGTTTTGCTGATAATCCATCTGTTGCTACTCTCTGCTGGGAATATATCTGAAAAACTTACATTTCTATCTGAAAATTTGAAGTCCGTACCGTCTTTTAACAATAAAGAGCGAGTTTGTGTCGGTTGAAGCGAAAACACCCGGGCCAATGTTTCAAGAATGAAAACCAATATATTGTCGAAAAAGTTTTGCAATTATTTTGTTGAATAATGTTGAGAAGTTAGAATGGACATTGCGTCCAAAAGGTAGCAACCATGAAATCAGTGAATTTCTTGCTCAGGTCATCAATACATGAGAGCTGAAGCAAAAATCAAAAATGTTATAGTTTTGTCCCATTTTTGAGTGTGCATATGTGTAGTTTTTGGCAAACAGTGTTATCTCCACCAATTCACCCTACTTTTGGTAACCCTATAAAATGGCAAATTTATTATACCTCTAATGGGGGTAGAAGTTCTGCTCTTGCTCACCAAACAAAACGGAGGGTAAGTTGGCTACAAGGTATGAGGTCTCACAAAAATGTGTCCTCAACGTTTGGAATGAAATTGGGTGTTTTGGAAAATTAGGTGGGTACTTGCAGGAAAAAATTAAAACTCACTATAACGGGTATATAAATTAAATTTATTTCGAGTGTTTAATCAGATGGATTAGTGATTTTTTTGAACAATCTGTAGTAATAGAACAAACCCTTACTTTCGCATTCACCAGTCAGATATTCTATTACGATTTTGCTATATTCTTATGGATGAGGGGCATAATAAAACGAAGAGAATGAGCACTTAAGATAAGCACTTCACTAATTTCAAGTAAGTGATACAGTCGTCATCTTGAAAGTTTCATCTGTCAATTTCACTTCAAAGTAAAATATTCATGCATTAATTTTATTATCCCAAATTTCAATTTTTTGAGTTGACCCGTTCAAAAAATAAAAGGGGGGCGGACATAAAAGAAATGCACAGTATACTTTTACCCGTGTTTGGAATCACACGTTCAAAGGTAAGACCTCCCTAATCCTTAGCTCGCACAAGTTTCGACTTCTGAGGGTTGTCGTTCGTAGGGGTGCAACAGCTGATTAACGAAAAAACAGAACAGAAAACATAAAATTAAATATTTTTTGAATGCGGTGAGGGTGAAAAAGTTTTATCATATTTCAATCATAAAACCTTTATCTTCCTGAGGCGGTATCAGATACGAATATGTTTGTAATAAAGTTTATCAACAAACTATAAAGATAGGTTATGTAGATAACCCATAAAGTAGTTGAAAAAGGATCAAAATATTTTCTTTAACGATGTCATGCTACCCGTCTTCTCGTTCCTAATCCGACGGGAGTTTTATTACACTTCATAAAACTTCACAACTTCGCCGTCAAGAAAATGATGACATACATAAAATTAAACGACAACGATCCGCTATCGATATATCAGCTTCCTAATTGCTAGGGAGTATATTGGGAAACAGTAAATATCGTACAAGTTGGATATGTTTTTCATGAATGGTCAGTGGTGTACGTACCCATATGTAATATAAAGTTGATGAAGATGTTTAAATATTCACGCGTTTTTGTAAAACGTTTCGAAAATCTCACGATGAAGTGTTTGTTGAATACGTTATGGATTTTCATCAAGTATCGGCCGATTCCATCACCTATCTTAAGGTGTTTGATTTTATTGAAATACTTTTGAAGTTTTCACTTTGGTGATGCTTGTTAAAATACACTATATCTGAGAAAATAGAATTGAAACTTTTTATGTTGTTTAGCACTTTTATTTGTAACTAACGTTACTGCAGTTTTGTTATATAAGGACATTTTCAAACTCATACTTACATCAAACTAACAATGGTTTATTACATTAGCCCTTATATATCACCCCTGTAGGTAATAATAGAGTTACTTGGCTTGATTGAGTACCTTAATTTAATGATCATTTAACAGGTTGTACCCGTAATGTATGCTTGTGAATTTCCTAGGATTCTAAATAATTGAGTTTGTAACCCTTCCTTGCATAGTGCAAAATTTCCGTATCGTTTAGATTCGGGAACTTGTGGTTGCATGCCAAGGAATGGTTTGAAAACGTCCTAGTCTGTAGGACCTTTCATGTTCAGCATATCGTTTTTGGAAATTTCGACCACATTGTCCCACATAAACACGATTACACTCCGGACATTTCTTGATTTCTGGTTGTTTGACCTGAGGGTATATTAATCTGTAAGTGAATTTACGGCTTTGTTTTCTGACTAACTTCTGGATAGTATCTGCTTTGAAACCATTTTTATGACCTATCTGTGTAATTATATCAATTTCCCTAGCTAGATTGTTAGCAGACAAAGGCAGTGAGAATGCTCTGTGTAACATCGAATTGTAGGCTGCTAATTTATGACTGTCTGGATGGAAAGACTCGCTTGGGACGGTAATGTCATGTCAAAATTGATCATTCCAAGTACTTGCGACACTTCTGTTTTATTAGTAGGAATAGGAAAATTTGAAATAGCTTCCACTCGTGATGGATCAATAGCAATACCCTCTTTCGAAATAACATGTCCTAGAAAATTTAGTTTCTGTACGCCAATGATGCATTTTGATTCGTTTAGAGTTATGCCCGCAGTTACAAGACGAGAAAGAACTTCACGCAGAATATCATCATGTTGTTCTATGGTTGGTGCATGTATTAATATGTCATCTATATGAATAATGTAGATTTTACCATACACATTTAAATTTTTACCATCAGGTCCAAATATACAATCATTACAATTTATGATATTTTTGAGCATTGATTCCTTCAATAAATGAAAAGGTTAACATATAATATCAGCTCCAGTATCAATTAGAAAGGGAACTTTAGTATCAAAATCAATTATCTCCAAATTCACCATCCACTGATTTTTTTCATTCACATAAATCTTTCCTACATTATGAGTTCGGTTAGAAAGACCACTATGCAAGGACATAGTCCCTAAAAAATGTTCTGAAATACCTGCTGCTTCATATTCCCTGGATTTGTCTTCACCATTGTTTTCTAAATCTGCATTAACATTTTGAACCATTTTTCTGGGTTTCAGACTTCTCATTCTGCAAACTTTTTCCCAATGACCTTTAGAAGAGCATTTTCTGCACACGGAATTTCTGGCAGGACATCCTGTACATGAATGAGGTTTGAGTCCACAGTATTCACAAGCTCCAGCTGTGGAAGAGGTGTGAGGTTGTGAATAATCCTTTGACGCAGATCCTTGATGATTTGATTGACTTCTCCGAGGTAAACGATTAGCAACGGCATGAACCATTCCTTCATGCTTCAGAATACTATTCTGTTGGCCCTGGATTTCAGGCTGTTTAGCACCGATGATAGCATCAGCCAGTGTCAGATTAGCCTGTAACTGCATCCGCTCAGAAGTCTTCGTATCTACCATTCCTACTACAATACGATCTCTTATGAGTTGATCCTTGAGAACACCATAGTCGCAGTGTTCTGCAAGACCATGCAGAGATGTAATAAAAGCGTCAATGCTTTCTCCTGGTTTTGAGTGCGAGAATTGAATTTATATCTCTCAAAGATTACATTTCGGCGAGGTATAAAATAATCTTCGAATGCTTTGAGCGTATCTTCGTATGTAGTTGGTTGTGTCGCAAAAGTCAGCGACACTTCTTCGCTTTCTTCACCCATCACATACATGAGAATATCAATTCGCCAGAGTTGAGAAGGTGAACTTCTCTGGAGGTGCCACGTGCATCGAGAGGTTAGAAACCGAAACCATTGGTACCACAGAGCTTGTATTTCCTTCCTTTCAAAAATTTGTTCGATATCACTTATACCGCTGCCACCATGTTTAGTTATCGATGGGGTTTAGGCATTAATAACTAGTATCAACGTATAACTCTTAGTTTATTTCAAGACTCTCAACTCGTTGCACCGACTGTTGAGCCCAGAGACAGAGCCCGGTGCCCCCGTCCCTATTCTGACAGCCACCTTTCGCCGTGTCTCTGAACCCACCAAAGGTATCACATCGTGAATGATAGAACAGAATACATGTAGAATAAACTGGGTAACCCCAGAATCAGATTCTTTTAGTTTGATTAAAGATCACAGTATCAACTTGAGATTCAATGGTAGGTCTATTTGCGGTGGATGAAATAATATCTTCATGACCTTTTTTAAATTTTAATGAAATGAACTTTTCTTTGAAACAGGATATGTAATTCAATACTCACCCCATTGTTGGGATCACAATGTTCTGTTATCACTGAATCAGAAACACTCATTTTTGGAAACACATAATATTCAGTCTAAATTCCATTTGTTTTTAACTTGGTGGTGCCACAATTTCTTTGAGTTGTATCTCTTCATTCACACGTCATTTTGAATTAGATCAACCCTACACTCATTACGTAATTCATGATGGATATACCAACCCCCCGCCAAAACGCAGCCGTTGCGATTGAATTTTGACATCGAAACTGACTTCAGGAATGTTAACTAGATCAATCGCTAGATAATTTTAAGTAAATTTCAGCGTGGCCTAGATTACCAGTTTATTTTTCTAGTCGTTTACGCAAGCACACTCAAACATCTGCTCCTTTCCGAAAAAAAAAGTATTTTAGGATGCAAAAGGAAAATCCCCGACAAACCCTAGAAATGTAACTATATTTTCATCATCCACGTTTCATTATTCTTAAACAATATGAGTCGCGAAGGGAACGATCAATTTTCTGGATGAATGAACCGAGTTGAGAGCCCGATCGACCGAAACTGACTGTATTGCGTGTGACAGAAAACGATAAACAGGGGCGCACTTACCAAGAATAATAAACCAGCCGCATTCGGGAAATTGTGAACGAATAACTAGATGATAATTCGAATAGAATTCGTTTTTATCGAAAGTAGTACCACAAGACACCAAAAATTTCCTCGACAAATTTCCATTTTTCAACGAAGGCAGAAAAATCCTTGAGGCGCTCTAAAAGCGGTGCCTGTGCGAAAGTAGCGATTCACATTGGATTTGAATCGCTGGAGAGTGAATCCATTTTGATCGCTCGGTTTGTATTGGTCAACAATAACGAAGTTATATTTTGACAAAATGGACATTTATCAGAGAAAATTTTTGGGTCGAGTGGTATCAATGAGTAATGAGAAATTTCAACGAGAAATTACCATACTTTATCATACTCAACTTGTATTTTCTAAAAATATGATTCAATTGTTGAAATTTATAGTGCCTTGACATTAGACTGCAGAGCCGGCACCATGTCACTCGACTTACTTGACGCGGCTAGATGCATTAACTGTGCGTCGCGTATTCTTCTCGATTTCAATGCAATTGCTACCATTCAGAATAATGGTAGCACTCAATAAAATTATCGTTCATGTACACATGTACGAGTTATGAAAGTACATCATACTTTCCAATCTCTTATACAGAGTGGGCTATCGAAAATGTTCTGCATGGCAACACTTTCAGAAAGAGGGAATTTCGCAAAAATTCAAAAATACGTTGTTTTTCAGTTGCAAAACCTTCTCTCAACGGGGGTACTATCTCTTATTTTTTTTATTGGAATAGAGGTTGAGTGACATGTCATTAAGAGGGGCGTTCTATCCCCTATCACTACTGCTTTGTTTTTGGAAATCGAACGATATAAAATTTCCTAATGCCAACAATACATATTATTCTCAAAAATTGTTTTCGAATGAAAACTTGTAGTATTGATCTGAATGCTGAAGATATTTTTTGCGAGTATCGTATTTTTTGTTTGCCAAAAAATTAGACATAGTCTGTCCTCTATTGAAAACAATTGTCTCATGTCAGATCAAAAATACTGTCTCTCGACGCACATTTCGGTAACCAAATTAGCATTATTAGGAATACTCATTTTATATACAATCAACTCAATACATCTCTTGAATTCAATTTCATTTTTTATTTTCTAGTTGAAATTTTCAAATATTTAAGAGCAATTTTTAAATACATTCATATTGATTTAGTCGATAATTTATATGACTGAATATAAAAATAATTGAATTTCACACACTGTTTCGTATAATCTGACTTCTTCAAACTCATAGATGAATATATTATTAGTTCAATTAAACTACTTTCAATCCTCGAGTCTTTCTCAAGATTCATTTCAAATTCTTATTTTTAAAATTTGATGAAAATTGATAAGTCCATAATGAATTATGAAATGTTTGAATGATTTCTAATTGTTATTTTAAAATAGTTTTCTTCATAGGGGAATTTTTTTGTACCGACTCATGTAGATGAGTCAACTCAACTCTTCTTCATTTCCATCCTTAGGCGCAAGAGACATGCTAGGTGCGAGGTTAATTTTTTAATTTTGTTTTTTGAAGTTAGCTCGACTATTACATGTAAACTATAATATTATGTGTACTTCTAGTAGTACAAATAGTAATGAACAAAAATAATAATGAACGGTATGCATAGATTCGCTCGTAAGCTATGATCCTTAATCTGAAAAATTATTATTATACCAATTTCAAAGTTTAGTTCCGTAAACATTTCATGCAACCTGTCTTATGTCATTATATACAGCTTTTGGATGTGAAATTTTACTACCAATATTTTCATAGTTATGAAACACATGTGTAAGTGGTTCCAAAAATAGATTCATCAAGATGTTGAAGGCTTATAAGATCTAATTAAGAAACACGCATTCTGAAAGTGGTTTGTTATCTGAATTGAGTTCCCAAAAAGTACGTCAACCTTTAGAACCCTTAAAACAGATAATTTGTTTTAGTTTTGTAATCACTATTTGGACGTGCATCAAAGGTAAACAAATATTTTTGTTTTGATTTCTCACCAGCTGAACACCTCCCATCACATTGACTGAAAAGACAACGGTTATGAATGTAAAATATGATTGTAACCCATTCGACAAACAGTGGAAAAGTGTTTGAATTCAGTTCCATGCATAATTCCGCGACTCTCTGAACAGCACCTTGTTGTTTTGTAATGATGAAATATGTGCAATTAATCCTTCATGAAGTACCCATTTAGATGTTATGGCTGCATTTCTCGAAAGATTTACTTCATTTGTAATACGATAACTACACACTAATTTAGAAATAGGAAGCTTGTTCTGAAAATAGGGGTGTCTGTTGATGATACAGGATTGTTGAGAGATGAAATTTGTAGTAGTAAAATTGTAATTTGTAGAGGCTCTTGATATTCATTATGGATAGTTTGGTTAAAAATCCAGAGAAAGATGAAAATTTTGATTAAGAAGCACTTGCATATCACTTGTTAGTTGTAAATATCGATAATTAGATATTTAAAATTAACAAAAAGTATAGTGTAGGTAATTGGAATTATCCATGTTCAGAAATATATCATTGGTTTTCGTATTTGAAATAAATGTGAGAACTATTCATGAAAGTGGTTAAGAAAAACTGAGTCATGGTTCATTGTCATATTTTCTTATAATTAGTTACACAAGTCTTGTAGAAATACAGAATCAGATCAAATTATGAATACTCTGACATGTTAATTGATGAAAATTAATAACACTAACCATGATAATGATCTTTGATAATCTTTGGTAGCTTCATCAGTTACTGATGGAGCTACCATGTATCGAAACGCGTCTGAAATTAAATTTATTTTGAGAATTCTGCAATTATTTCCATGGATATAATCAAATCAATTATTTTCATTATAATCAGAAGACAATAAGGGACTCATCACTTTCTACGAAAATAATAAGCGATGTGATAAATGACCCTCAAGATAGAGACACGTAAAAGGAGTATTATGAACACATGCAGAAAGATAGCTGGAGATTGATTAAATACGAGAAAAACAAATGAAAAATATAAACTCAGTTCTGATGACTTTTTTCGAGGGCTGCTGAAAATGTCGATATGATACACAAAGATGCATAGGAACCTTATTGTTTCAACGAGATTGGCCCAACTTTGTACACATGTTGATAGATGGTGCAAGAATTAAAATCTGTCGCTTGTATGGTTTGTTGAGATTTTCAATTTATGGGCCATAATGTAAACAAATATTTCACCTGATATAATAATATCATTTATTATGCATAAAAAATACATTTATACATAAAAGGAAAAGGGTTAGCCAAAGTATATCTTCCACCCCTCCCAAAAATTATACAGTGAGTGTAAGAAAATAATTATAAAATACATATTTACTATCATAACAATGATAGAGAAGAGAAAAAATAATAGATCACATAGTTGCTAATAACTCCTAATATTCTTAGCATTATTTTGGTCAATTTAACAATTTAATTGCACTACCATACATTGAATTTTAAATTTTTTAAATTAGCACTGAGCAGTACGCATCTGTGATTTTATTTCTTTCTTAAATTGGTGAATATTATGATTTAAAAGGGGTAAACTTTCATTCAGAGAAGAAGGGGCTATATAAGAAAAACATCCTTGAAATTTGGAAGTACGGTGCCTAGGTATGATGAATGAGTTACCTCACATTCAGCTCCTTCATTTTTAACAAAAATGGTGTGATATGTTTACCATATGGTATACAGCCATCGAATCGCATGCAAGCATTTTGTATACGTTGTAACTTCTGCTTGTTATATTGCGGCAAAAAATCGTAATACATCGAATACATACTCGATATGGGGGTAAATAAGAGTTTCAACTAACCTGAGTTTCATTTCTTCTGATAACTGATACTGGAATTTATATAGCGATTTGAGTTTGGATAATGATACTTTGAAAATGTTTGTCACATGTTCATGTTTAGCATTGACCACCCAGTCAATGTCTGCGTTATCGAGAGTAAGCCTAAAGTTAATCTGAGTTTTTACTATTTGTCTTTGAAGCCCTATGCATAAGGCCAAAGTTTTATTTAGATTGATTTTCAGTCCATGATTCTCCGTGCAAATCTGTGTTTATATTGGCCACGTAACTTTCTGTATCATTTTTAAGAGAAAACAAATATAACTGTATATCATCTGCGTATAGATGTACTTGACAATGTATGTTGGGTAATCAAAAATAAACACTGAAAATATCAAGGGTCCTAAAATACTTCCCTGCGGTACACATAAGATTGTTTCTTTCAGGGATATCCATGAGTAATCATCCACTTTGACCCTCTGTGATCGGCCTGTGAGATAGCTGGTCATCCATTTAAGAGAAATGTCATAGAATCTCCTATGAACTTGAGCTTGCTGATAATCGAAATTAACTAAATCGAAAGCTTTACTTTGTTCAAGCAGTACTAAAATGGTGACTTTTGATTGTTCTCTGAATCTCGCTACATCGTCGATTACTTTCAAGAGGGCAGTCTGTGTTCCGTGTTTTTTGTGAAACCCAGACTACTCGTACGGGAAGATTTGACGGGAAACATTTTTCTCGAATATTTTACAGAATGAGGGCAGAATGTTGATAGGGCGTAGGTCACTGAACGTGGTAGGTGCATTCTTTTTTGGAATTGAAATTATATTAGCTACCTTCCAAACATCTGGAAAAATACCCTGTCTAAAGGACTCGTTGAAAATATGTTAAATTTCATCAATACAGTGTGGTATCACTTAAGAAATCATCTTGATATTTATATTGTCAATACCTGAAGCATTAGATTTTATCTCTTTGATAGCAGTCAAAATATCATCATCACATATATCGGTGAGGGAAAAGTTCATAGGAGCGTTCAATTTATTATTATTGTAGAATGAAAGAGTGTTATTATTCACTATGAATCAAATCAAATAAATTAAATTC